AGGATACTTCGGAGAGGATCTCGTTCTCCTAGGACCGGGATTAGATGAGATGTCGCCGCAATCCAGCAGTTTCCTCTCTAAATTAAAGCTGCATGATCCATTTCCAGTATATAGGACTCTGCTGTTTAAGAAGCGTTTGGCTCGAAATTCAAATCTTTGACTCAATCGTAGATTGCATTGGCATCTATCCACGTCAAACTGGATGATTACGGAAAACCGGATGATTACGGAAAAAGTGACTTGTTCGTTCAAACAAATGACGTTCAAAGCTGTTCAATGGAGTGATAGGCCACATCGAGAATTCCGTTATGAAACGTCCGTTAACATATAACTGAAAATGTTTGTGAATTTCCGACATTCTCTTATTACAATTTAACTCTTCATTTAGATATTTCATTTGGAGAATTAAGTTTTCACCAAATCTCATTTTCCATATTGGTGAATCCGTGCTTTTCCTCAAGAATGATAGAGCGTAAGTCAATAATTGAGCGTCACAAAACAAAACCAGTGATTGACAATCCAGTGAACCAATCAAAACTTGAAGCAAAAGTACATATAGCAGAGGCGAAGCGCGGTAGCAGGCGTGCGAGCGAGTCTCAATTGGTTTGGTAAATTAGTCGATTACGTAGCAATGCACAAAACCAAAGTAAATGTGACTGGATTACCGTCCCTCTAATAAAAAAACCATGTAAATTTAGCGAATATGGTATTGTAAGTAGTAATGTTATTGTAAATAGTCGTGCTCTTAGGAATATTTTATATTTTAATTCTGAATTTATCTTAGCGAATATAGTAATTGTAAGTAGTAACGTTATTAAATAGTCGTGCGTTTTTGTCATGAGCCCCTGGCTCGGGAGATTGGGCAACCACTCTCCACGTTTATGACTTAAAATAAATTTACCTTAACTTACTGTTCAGTTCTGGGATTGACTCGATCAGTGTTTGCAGGCATTTTGCATGTTCAGCTTTGTTTAGATCTGCACATTTCACCCAGGGTTTTCGGTTATTAGTGTATTTAGCTCAATATCTTCATTTTACTACACTGTGTTTTCTTGTGCTTTTCCTTTTGAAAAAGCAAAAAACCCAAAAGTTTGTCAACTTTTCACTGGTGTTTCCTATAAACACTCGCAGACAAGAACTGAACGTGGTAATGGAGAGCCCGTTGTAGTTTCAATTTCTTCTGGAAGCTTAATTGAGAAAAACGTCTCTTTGATTCATTGTTACATTTTTCTTTCCTTAGCTGTAACGAA